GGGGGTGAGCCCGAGGGGCGGCCACTTTATGGCGGGGATGGGGGGGGACGGACCCAACTTCACCTCAGCTCTGTGAGACACCCCCCACCCTGCGCCGTCGCCCTCTTGAAAATCCATTTTCTTGGGCGTTTGTCCCCCCGAGAAGGAGCCCCGGCCTCCTCCCTGCCTGCTGAAGTACGGTGTTCTTGCTTTTCCCTCAGGTTTAGCGTGAGAGGGGGCGAGGAGGGGGCACAGCGGAGAGGAAAGGTAAGGCTTCAAGGCGCCGGGCATCCCTGAAGGTGCAACCCCCGCTCCCCCTCGCCACCCTCGGCAGCATGTCTGGCCCGGTTTGCTTCCAAGAAATGCTCTTGGAAAGCCAGCTCTGTGTGCAGAATGGCCTGCTTGAGAGCCACCCCGCTGCCTCATCTGCTGGGGCTTAAATCGGGCAGACCGAAGGCAGCCTACATCTGAACGCCTTGGCCCGGCGCCTGTCAGACAATGCAGGCTCCTGTGTGTGAGTTTGTGGGGATGCAGGCCTCTTCCAGGCTTTGCTCTGTGAGTCCCTCTCGTTTTTCACAGAGCCGGTGGGAGCTCGAAGCACGTGGAGAATTGCAGCATTAAATAAAAACCTCTGGTGTAATTTTAACTCGCATCTGAGGAGGCTGAATCTTGTGTTCGTAACGTCGGCGCAAATAGAAACAGTGCTTGTTTTCCCTATGCTGCCGGTCCCCGTTATCCCTGAAGCCTTTCTGGGGCAGTTTTGACGAGCCGTGCGGGCCTGCTCCAATTGCAACTCCCATGTGGAGGGACAGAGCTTGGGAATCAGCCAGGGAAAACTCACAAACATCCTTCCAGATTCTTCTAGCTGACACATAGCGGGTTTTAAACTATAACATAACATTTGTCTTATCCCAACATCTTAAAGCCCCGTAATTTAAAAAGGAGATCTGAATTATGCCCTCAGTGGTGGTAGTTCTTCTCAGTACTCAAAGAAGCTAAAAATAATTAATGAGCAATGAATTTGTACTTGCTTCTTTATATAATTTGAGAGGGCTGTTCCAGAGAAGCCCCACTTCCAGCATTGAGCTGGAAGCGCACAGGTTTTACTTTGCTTAAGCTTTAAACGTTCAGGTGCAGGTGTAGCTTTACTTGTGTGTTAGCTGCTGAGCATGGAGACAGTCAAAGGGTGTCCGCAGTGACTTCCCCATCTCCTTTGGTGGTGAGTCAGCGGAGAAAACGTCTCATTAATTTCCTGGGGTGGTTCTGAAGGCTGGGGTCTGACGTTGACTGAGCGGGATAGTCTTGTTTTGTAGAGTTATGGCAAGGGTTTTATAAATACACACTCTGTGTGAGCGTCAGCATTAATTTAACATAGGCTTTCTTTAGGCGCTTGGGTTTGGCTGGGATACATCTTTGTGTTTTGGGCAGCTGGATGTGTCTTCTTTATACTACATATGGAATTGTTGTGGTTAGGTTTATTCAGTGTTGGCGACTTGGGCATCGTTTAAAGATAATGCTGAAATCTGTACCTCAAAGGCTTTAGGATAAATTAATTTATTTCTTCAGTGTGGAGGGTGAAGGAGAACGCTGCAAACCTATCCAGGGACTCTATAAGCACGGTACGATTAGTAAAAGCGATGAGAGACAGCGCTGTGACAGGATAACGGGGCAGCTGAGCCAAGAACCCACAGAGTTTGGTGTTTACGCTCTATCCGACTCCCTGTAGTCTAAATAGCTGGAAAGTTCCCAACATCTGGAGGAGGAAGACTGGAGAGAGGCTTCTTATCTTGTAAGTGCCCGTCGCTCCCTCTCCTTCATGGCACCTGCGTACATGGCATGGCCAGGTACTGCAGGGTCCCCTTGGCACTTTTTTTCCCTATGGCAGTGGTGCCATGCTCTGAGGTAACACTGTTTAATTTCAGTTACCTCGACTGTGCCAGCGTGATCTGTCCCCCTGGAGAGCAGAGCTTCTCCCCAGGCCTAAAATCTGGAGGTTAATGTTTCTTCTTCTCCAAGATTTGTTCTGAACAGAAATAAGAACATTTTTGGAGACAGAAGAAGACTAGACATTATTTCTGATGTTTGGGGTTTTTTTTCCTTTTTGGCTATCTGCATTAAATAGAAATGAATGTTGAAGTTCATTATATTAGACAACCATTTCTTGGTAGCTATAATTATAAAAGGTGGTTTTTCCTAAGTTCAGAATGACTTTTTAAATGTCCTTAGTGCTTTAGAGGCACTTAAAAATTGAACTGATGATTCCATTTCTGCTGTTTAAAGTAATGCAAATGTGTAGGATGAGCGAAATGGGAGCAGCGCTCAGGCAGGTGAACAAGCAAAATGGGGGAAGGCCTCGGCAGGAGTTTATAAACAGACTTGATATGTGAGACTTGGCAGGTAAATCTAAAGCTAATATAAACTTAAATTAGATCCCTAAACTAAGCCAGTGGAGAAAGTGGGGAAGGTTTTACCTTTGGCTACTAGGTGTGCTGCCTCAGAGGGGATTGAGGGCAGATCTGGACAGCAGTGGGAGTTCAGCATGTTGCTTTACACAAACTTCCTTCTTAAATATTCCAGTTAATGATGTTATGTGCTTTAGTCCTGAGCTCGTCTAAAGTGTCTTTGCATCATGAATTAAAATTTGGCTGGCTTTGTGGAAGCAGCCTGTTCTTCCAGAAGAATCACCTAATCCAAAATGAGAGATCTTGCTCCACTGGAAAGGAAAAAAAAGGGGGTTTTCCCCCTTGATGTTTTCCATCCTGACCGTGCTTGGCTGTATTCACTGGGGGTGAGTTTGATGTTACCGCCTGACTGATCATGTGTCTGACAGATTCTCCTGCCTCCCCGAGAGACACCGCTCCTGAGCAGATGTTTTTCCAGTGGTTTAACTCCCCGAAATGGTTCACCCCATGGCCTGACGCTTGCAGGCATTTGCAGGGCAGGAGGCTGCAGAGTTTCGTTGTCAGAACTTCGTCAAAGTGCTTTCGGGCTCGACGGCAGGTTGGAAAAACACAGGGTACAATGTTCAAAAGGGTGCGCAATGGAGGAGGCTCAGCCTTGCAAGCACGGAGGGTGTAAAACTGGGAGGTACAAGCAGTCGGCTGGAGCCTGGTTCCTCGCCTGCTAAATGCGTTTGAAACTTTTATCCGAAATCGGGGCTCTACAGTAAAATAAAAATCTGATTATTTGAGATGACAGGCAGCATATGCGAAGTGGTGTTTCAGGAGGCAGGTTGTGAAGACCAGCTCTCTGAGGTGTTATAATATTATTATACTATTGTTATAATAATGATGTATTATTATTGTAATGATAAAGTTTTCAGAAGTGAAAGGCTGGCAGCCATACTGTATCTGAGCATCTGCGAGAGTCGGTGTGCCCTGTTTTCATCATCCAGCATTGAAAGATGATGGATATCTAGATTTCTTAAATGATCCCTGCCAACGTTTGCAGCCCAGCTGAGATTTCATACCTGCAAAGAGTTGCCCTGTGTATCCCCTGTCAGTGCTGCTGCTTTGCTGCAGTGAAGCAATTGCAGGCATCTCACTCATAGAACAAACACTCAGATCTCACCAAGGCTGTAAAACCTGTAAAAAACTGTGATTTGGGGCCAGCAGCTCCTGCACAGCATTTCCTTCTGGCAAAAGTCTGCCTACCAGAATTTTTGCTGGACTCTTCATTACAATTGACAAGAAAAAATGGGTAAGGGTGAACAGTTCTGTCTGCTTTCTTTCCCTTTTAATAGTCTTATTTTGGAGAGGCAGAGTGGGAGAGGACCGTGTGCTGGTAGACCTTTTGTATTTTATGTCATGGGCTGTTGAAAGAGTTCTCAGACATAGAACTTCCTTTCCGTGGGCTTTAAGGTCACATCCCACCGCCTGTAGACGTATGGTGGGACGGATAATCCTTCCTTCATCACCAGACAATGAAATGCTCTCGGTGGCTTTCTGTAGCCAACAAAAATCTTTTTGTCTTTCTTCCCTCCCGCTGTTTTCCCAGCAGCAAGTTTGCTAACAGGCATGGCCTTGGAAGGGGGGGAGCTCGTGCTCCGAGATGTAGGCTCTCAGGCAAAGATGAATGGCCAAGGTGAAATGAAGGGTCTGGCAAACAGTGGTCTGCCAGTGGCGACTGCAACCCGGTTTTGTACAAAACAGCCCTACGATTTTATTGAGCTTCATTGTAAAGGAAGTTAAGGAGGTGGATGAGAGCTGCGGGGCAAAGTTCAGAAACAAAAAGGTGCAATTCTTGGTCTGAAGGTGATCTCGTAAAGATAACAAAACCCAGTATTTATCTGCCTCTGAAAAGCTGGCTCGAGAAAAAAACTGTGGTCTGTTCCACATCATGTTGCATGTATGTAGTGACTTTGCTTGTGGTGATTTGTCTACTATAGAAACTGGATGGCTTCTACCGTGAGCCTGGGTAAAGAAACATTGTTGGAAGATGGAATGCCACCTGCAAAAAAGCCCAGGTAAATTTAATTATACTCCAGTGAATGTCTTCTAATAATAAGAGCTTTTTCTGTAATCTTGCATTGTTCTTTAAAGAGCATGACACTTGGCACCAAGCTCCAGCAGTCATTTTGGTTGCTGATCCAAGAAAAGCACACTGTCTCTAGCCATGCCCTGTGTTTTCCTGTGGTGCATGGAACAAAGACCTTGATGCCCAGAACGTACTTTGCTGCTGGTTTTTTTCTTTTAACCCCTAAGCCAGGATGTGTGGTTGCACAGAAAACTGTTTTTTACTGTACCATCTCCTGATCGGTGTTAACCCTAGCTCAGGTCCTGTCCACACGTAGGGTCACGTCAGATGCGGTGGTCGTGCTTCTTCACTTGAGTTGAACGGCGGTTCCCAGGAGGACGGGCAATTACTCAAATTAGTACGATTTTGCTGTAGGTAAAGGCTAAATAATTCCACTCTGGAGGCTCCTCATACTAGTAAGTAAGTCGTCTTACAGTTCTCCAAGTGGGGACCTGAGCATGACACTAACTTGGGGCATAGCCACAATTCTTTCCGTCCAAGGTTGGTACTGTGGCTGCTGCGATAGCACAGGCTCAGAAATTAAGGCATTGCCATCTGCGAACGAGCAGCTAATTCATCTAGGGAGTTGTCTTCCACTAACCTGATTTATTTACGAGTTATGGAGGGCTGGAGAATAGTTTCTGTGAGGGAACCCTGGTCTCAAGGTTGATCCAGTGACTGTGGAATGAGCAGAAAAGAGGCTGGGAGATTATTTTTTCCTTGCTGAGGATATCAGGATAGAAACAAGGGTATTTATCAGCATGGGAACAAAATGCCTCTTTCAGAGGTGTTGCGTAGGATGTTAAGACTTGGGTATTTGTTATTATTTTGGACTTCAGTGCCTAGTTTTCTGGTTGTGTTTTTATACTAGCTTATTAGCATGAATACTAATTTATTCTTTGCATGTGAGGCTAGCAGTCCCAAAATTAAAACCCATTTATCGCCACTAACAGTGAAGACCTCCTAAAGAGAAGGGTTAACTTGTCTGTTTTTGTAGGCAGTAGTGGAGGGAAGGCAAAGCTCCATCTGCGTGGTGTCGGTTTCCTTTCCTCTTCTCACTAAATATCACGTGTTTGCAGATAAAAAACATTCCTTCCAAATGAGCTGCCTCTCTGGGCTGCTGCTTCCATCCACTGGGAAGCTGCAGCCAGTCCTCTGCTTCAGAAAAGCAGCTTGACACTAGGCAAGGCATGATGAGAAGCACATCTGCTTAATAAATAATAAACGTCAAATTTAAAAGCACTGTGCAGGTATAAAGCTAGGAAAATAAGGAAGAGGGGAGGAGGAGGAAGGAGAATATAGCCACGCAGCACTTTCGTGAGACTCTTTCCATCATCTGGGTTTCCAAAAGATTGGCCTCGAGCATCCCGCTTATGTTGCAAGCGTGACAGGGAAGGGATTTCTAGTACAGCAACATCCCACTGAGGGGTCTTCTCAGCAAAGAGGGGCCAGGAGCTGGGAGGAAGCCTCCGCTTCCTTCCTTTTGTGCTGGGATGAATGGGGCTGCTGTCTTCAGGCCCCTCTTTAGCACCTTATTTATAGCAGGCGCAGTCACGGTTGTGTTGACTCCCCAGCGTGGGGGTCCTATGCATGCTTTGTCTCAGTGCGTAAAGAGTATGTATGTGTCTCTACAGCCATTGACAACATATTCCATGTTGCTCACCACACCTTTTTCACTGTCTCCAGCCTTTCTGCTAGCTTCCAGGTAACTATTATTAACAAGACCTCCCTTATTCCAAATTTTCATGGGATTAGCTTTGCTTTGGAAGTATTCCTGGGCAGTATTGACTTCCCCAGTAACTGTCTCGGTAACAGACTCAATTGCCAAATATGTTGTAATTACATACCTGGTAATTGTGGGCATTTGTGATGTTGATCCACGGAGCAGCGCGCTGTCTTTGAAGGATACTGAGCTGTTCCTTTCAGCCTCTGTTTACCAGAGGACCGTAATGGACATGTTGACTCAAAATTTAGGCAGAGGGTACCTCCTTTGTCCACGGTCTGCATGTTCCGCGACCCGAGACATCCTTCCATCTACCATGGTACCAGCTATGCTACTTTCTCCTCCCGCAGGAAGCTGTTGCCAAGCCTCAAAACCAAGAAGCCTCGGGAACTTGTATTGGTGATCGGGACAGGAATCAGTGCAGCAGTTGCTCCCCAGGTCCCAGCACTGAAGTCTTGGAAGGGGTTAATCCAGGCCCTCCTGGATGCTGCTATTGACTTTGATCTGCTGGAAGATGAAGAGAGCAAACGGTTTCAGAAGTGTCTCCATGAAGACAAGAACTTGGTTCATGTTGCCCACGACCTTATCCAGAAGCTGTCTCCGGTGAGTGTGCTTGTAGCACTGTACGTAAATATTTGGTACCCTGCCCCGAGCATGGGATTTGGCTTTTGGAAATGGCCAAATTTGATTCTCCAGCATGCCCCCATCTCCAGTGATTCCTCTGTCTACAAGGAACCATAAGTGCACAAGTGCAGTTACTGTGCCAGAGACATAACTCTGCTGTGGACACCAGCTTTTGGGTATTTCACTCGGGTATGCTGGGCGGGGGGAGTAGCTGCCTCAGTGCAATATGTGCTCTGTGTTAACCTTGCAAGGACCTATAGCTTTGCGGAGGTCTTCGAGAAATAAGCGGGTAGTTTTTAGTTGAGTCGTTTGGCACGAAGTGTTACAAGAAGCCTGATTCTGATATTAATCTGTCTCCTCAGCGCACAAGCAATGTTCGCTCAACCTTTTTCAAAGACTGCTTATATGAGGTGTTTGATGACCTGGAATCTAAAATGGAAGATTCTGGGAAGCAGCTGCTTCAGTCTGTGCTTCACTTAATGGAAAACGGGGCACTTGTGTTAACCACAAACTTTGATAACCTGCTGGAACTGTACGCAGCACACCAGGGGAAGCATCTGGAATCTCTTGACCTGACTGATGAAAAGAAGGTAAACGATGATGATTCTATTTTTTTTTTCTGTCAGGGCTGAGCTGAGACAACACTGGACAGTGGCAGCTGCGGGATGTGCCCTCATGCCTGCGTAAGGGGATTGTAACGTTCATAGTAATTTAAATGATACTAGACAAACATTTGGGGCAGTGAGCAGAGGAATGAAGACGAATGCTCATTTCTGAAACACTGTGCCTGCTGGCTGACATCCATTGCTCAGGAGGAGCCCTTAAGCCTGGTGTTTCTTTGATCTCTGTCCTTGAAACTTCTGGCTTGGCCTTGCTGAAGTACTGCAAGCCTTGCTTCCACATAAGGCTTGGGTGGACGTTTCTAACCGACACAGGAAACTCCGTGTGAGACGCAAAGCTGACCTTTCTATTTTTATAATGTGCTGCAGAGTCCTTTTTGTGATAGAGCGTTTTTGGGGCTGTAGCCTTCGAGGCTTCCCTCTTGCTCCGTGTCCTCTTTCTGAAACTGTCAGATGGCTCCTGCTGGGTCACTTTGTGTGTTCCAGCTTCTTCTGCCATGCTCTTGTATTTGTAGCCGCTCGCTTCACACAAGCCTCCCTCCTTTTGCCCCAGCCCTTCAGGCAGGCAGAAAATCAGACTGTGAAACCCTCAGCTCTTCGCCACCTGCCCACCTTGTCTTTCCATTGTGGGTTTTACTGGTGGAGAGCATCTTGTTCTTCTGTTTGCTTGTTAAACACGCCACATGTAGGTGCTGTGCAGTACTTGGTCTCTTTCCATTCTGACTCATTTCTGTGCTTCACGTTTCCTGCGTGACCTCTTAATCTACACGGCTGGAAGTACTTACAGTGTTACAAATAAGCATTCTAATTATTGCAAGCTTAAACGAGCTAAGGTCTGCAGGAGTAAACCAAGAGCCTCGGAAGTGGCTTTCTGAAATGAAGGTCAGCTGTTGAGCTCCCTCAGAGTTTCTCAGAGCCTGGAGGGGCCAAGAAATAAAACTTTGTAGGCTTGAGAAACATGCTGGCATAGTATTTATAGAGTTTTTCCCTTTTTTCTGCTGAGTCCAGTGTATTGATTCAGTCTCTTCCCATCGCATTCGCCGTTCAACTGAAGTGTTGACCCAAACAAGCGCCGTAGGCTGTAGTCATGGGCCGTGATGTAGAGGCTGATGGACTCATAACCTCTTGAGGAGATAAGATGGGGAAGAAGCTGCCTCTTTGAAACACTTCCCCAAAATGGCATTTTTAACAGCACCATGGAAGCTGACACGATGCACTCGCTAACATTTCTGGAGGGGTTTGTTTTGTGCAGGTGCTGGAGTGGGCACAAGAGAAGAGGAAGCTTAGCGTCCTGCATATCCATGGCGTTTACACCAACCCCAGCGGCATAGTGCTCCACCCGGCCGGGTACCAGAATGTGCTGCGCAACACGGAGGTCATGGTGAGGCAGCCTTCCCTTCCCTCTGCGGGACATGCTGGGGGGTCCCATACGTTGTGTGTATACATCTCCCGCTTCCCTGGCATGCCCATACGTTAACCAGGCATAGACTCAGCTGAGTTTAAAGACTGAGCTTCACACAGGGTGGTGGGAGAGTCCTTAATTTTGTGAAGTAGAAGAGGAGGGATGGATTCTCTAGCCTGCTAAGCTGCAAAAACACCTCACCACACTTGTGTTGAGGACGATTGAGTGATGGCAGTCCTGCAGAGCCTCATCAGTGATCAGGCAGGTGCTGTCTCTTGTGCCATGTGAAGATAAAGCTTGCCTTGACTGAGAACATCTTTCCCTTTTTTAAAGCGAGAGATTCAGAAGCTGTATGAAAATAAGTCATTCCTGTTCTTGGGCTGTGGTTGGACTGTTGATGACACCACGTTTCAGGCCCTGTTTTTAGAGGCTGTCAAGCACAAGTCAGACCTGGAGCACTTCATGCTCGTACGGAGGGGAGATGTGGATGAGTTCAAGAAGCTCCGTGAGAACATGCTGGACAAAGGGATTAAAGTGATTTCCTACGGAGATGAATACGCAGACTTGCCTGAGTACTTTGAGAGGCTGACGAGCGAGATCGCCATGCGGGGTCGAACAGGTACAGGGGTTACGGGCTGTGCGGGATGGCTGTCTGCGTACATCCACCATCTCCACACTTACCTCGGGGATCCTGTCATATGACAGCACAGATCTTGACTGTCACCGTGGACTTTGGAGTGTAGGCACTGTTAATAGGCCCTCTTCTCTATGCTATATTATTCCATAAGATTTTTTTTTTCCCAAAAAAATTGTCTGCAAGTGTAACCAAATTTGGGGCTTGCTTTTACAAAATCACTGTATGTTCTTGTAGTTTAAACAGCTCTGTTGCTTCCCACGCATCCAAACATTATTTTTCATGTGCAGCTGCAGTTGTTTATTCCCTTTCTTAGTGAATGGTAAGAGCATTTCAGTCTCGCTGACCTTCGTGCTACTCAGCCTGAGCTAATGCTTTAACATACACAAGATCTCACTAATAAATCATAAAAATGGGGAAAAGTGAGTTTGCTAGCCAGAGCCTTGCCGGCATACGTTCTGAGGGGTAAAACCCAGCCAGGAAAGCCTGTCGCATGAAACTACTGCACGTGGGCAGCAGGCCGCCCACGTTGCTTGGGAGCACTTGCTGGTTGCGCAGGGGCTCCCCATGTCTGTGCAGTCACCTCGGGGTTGCCTTTCCAGCTGGTTGTTGCTCTCTGCTCTCTCCTAGGTGTGCCTAAGGAGGGACAACAGCTGAACGGCTCTGCCACTGCCCACACCGAGATAAAAGGTGAGACTCTCCCGAGCTGCGAGAGGCTTTCTAGCCCCTTTGCAACTCCCTGGGAGTCCAGCGGCCTCTCTGGCAGGTTCGGAAGAGCCTTTACTTTCCCACAGGATGCAGCACTTGAGCATCAGCCTCACCCCAGGACCTGTGCCGCAGCAGGGTCTCCCTAAGCCAGAGCCAGCAGCTCCCAGGAAGGCCTGCATGATTTAAGGCCAGTCTAGGGGAAGAGCAAAGCCCACTGCTGTCAAGCCGCTGCCCACACGCACCGAGCTGAGCCGGGACACTTCAGGCGTGAAACAGGGGCCGGAGCAGAGCCTCCTCGGATGGACACGCACCTGGTTTAACGTAGTAGTTGTCTTTTTATCGAGGTTGCGTGCGCCTGGGGAGCGTGTTCTCCCCAAGGGAGCTGCAGCTGCCTCTAATTTCATACCTAGTGCTTTTGTATTCTGTACTTTCAATTAAAAAAATGAAACTTGAGCGGTTTTGTTTTTTTTTTACTTGAAGCTCTAGTTTTCTAGTCCTGTCTTTATACTGTACAGTATTTTGTATGTTGAAGCTTGTATTAAAGGCCTGTTCACATAACGTTTGGCTGGTGTGTGATTTACATGCCCTCTCAAACACCTCACACAGGCAGGAGTTTGTCTTCCCACCCCGCCCTGCCCCCAGAAGGAAATAGGGCCTGGCTGGAGGCAAGTTATTTATACACAGAGAACAAATTATGAAGTTTATTTTATATAAATTATGTCTCTTAGCAGACAGCATTCAATTTATTGCACTATAGCACATCTGCGATACAGAGCTACAAGACATCGTAAGAGTTTTGTATTATTCAGTGTAGCACTTCAGACCGGGATCAAGAGGCACTCGAAGGGGGGGGGGGGAGAAAGGGTGCAGGAAAGCAGCAAGCAGCCACTGTTATCTACCAGTATTAATTTTTTTTTTTCCTTTTTTACCAGCAAATAACGCTAAGGCCAGCAGGCAGGAGCCACACAGGAGCACACTGCCTTCCTTCTCCAGCTGCAGTTAGCGTTATCGGACCAAGGTGCCGCAGCTCTCCAGATCCTGCCCAAATACACGGTGTCCAGGTACCCTGCTCTGGTGTCCCGGTGACGACAGAAACGGGGACCTTAAGGCAATTTAGCATCTCCCCTCCAGCCCAGTGCAGGCCGTCGCCATTTTTGGTTTATCAGCTTCGGTGGAGCTACTGCTAGCAGCGACAGTAACAGCCAGCTCATCTAACGCTGCCACTCAGCAGCGGCTATCCTGCTTGCCCCGACAAAAGTCACTCCTGCATCTTCCCTAAGCTGGTCTAAAAGTCAAAAGCAGCTCAAAAAAGTGCCTTCAAACCCCCCAAAAAGCACAGCAGGTCCTCACGCTACCTGCCCCTCCCCATGCGGCACGAACAATACAAAGCTCTGGATTCAGCCTCCTCGCGCGGGAGCCTGCGTCACTTAGAACAGAATGAAGGAACCCAGGGGAAGGGCTTTTGCTGGATAAAAGGAGTTTTATCCAAAAAAAGTACCCCTCGTGCTGGTATCCCTTCATTCTGTTCTGTGCTACACGGGAAAGACTAGTCGGTAACGGGGTAAAGCATGTTCTTCTCGGACATCTGCAAACAGCGATTTGGTGGGTTTTAGGCCTTCATGAGCGCTGCGACCACGGCCTTGGCATTAAGGCTTCGCAGATCACAGTAAGTTTGTCCAGTACCAACGAAAACGATGGGCTTGCTTGTGATGTAGGTCATGGAGATGGCGGCGCCGACCTGCCGAGGACAACAAGCACCATTAGCCTGCAAATCCACTGCTACACCCTCAGGGAAACACGTCAAAAAGCTTGTCAAACATTCAGCCTCCTCCTGCTTTCCGATCTGTACAGTCCCTATACGTCCCGCTGGGGTAACGCGTATAAACCAAGAGCCCTCACAGCCCTGTTGTCCACATGCACTGAAATCAGACTGCTGTGTTTTGTTTAAATGGCTTGAAAGCAGGGAACAGTGTCCGGAACAGCGCAGAAGTGCCCCGTGTTTTGACAGTTCCTTTCTCTCCCCCTCTGGTCACCAGCAGGAAGCTCTGTGGTGCAGAGTCATCTTGACGGCCTCCTTACCTTGTCATCGATGGTATCGAACTTGGTGAGGACAATCCCGTCAATGAGCCGCGGTGTCTGGGCCATGGAATGATCAGCCAGGGCCTTGTTGAACTTGACCTGAGGGAGAGAATGGATCTAAGAAACGCATTTGTGGCGCTGCCTCTGTCCAAATCTCCTGATGAAACCTACAGAAGCGGGTTTTTTTCCACCCCTCAATCTTTCAGGAAACAAATCCTCGGCACTCACCAGCTGATCCACAGCCTCATTTCCCACCAGGGCTTCCCCAACAAACAGGACCAGGTCGGGAGCGTTGACAGCAATGAGTTTGGCCAGTGCCGTCATCAAGGGAGCATTGTCCTGCATGCGGCCCGCCGTGTCCACCAGGACCACGTCAAAGCCCTGGTTCCGAGCTGGGGAGATGAGGAGGCAAACTTAAGCAGGACGCTCCCCCGAAACAGCATCTCCCACCACCGGTTTTCCACTTACCGTAAGAGATGGCCTCCATGGCAATCCCCGCAGCGTCCTTGCCGTAGCCCTTCTCGTAGAGCTGCACCATGGTCCGCCCGCCGTGGCTCTCTGGGGGATGCAGGGCATTGAGACGACGCGTGTGGGTGCGGAGCTGCTCCACCGCTCCCGCGCGGAAAGTGTCACAGGCGGCGATGAGGACGCTGAAACCGTTCTCGATGAGCCAGAATGAGATCTGCAGGCGGCAAGAGATGGAAAAAAAAGCCCATTACCAGCCACAGCCTGACCTCATCACCCCAGTCCCAGAGAGCCAGGAGGATCATGTCCTACCTTGGCCAGGTTGGTGGACTTCCCAACACCGTTGACGCCACAGAAAGTGACCACGTAGGGTCGGCAATGACGCTGCGCGTCCATGACATCACGGAGTACATCCACACGGCGCTGGGGCTGCAGGATCTGCACGAGAGCCTCCTGCAGGGCCTGCTTCACCGTCGAGGTCACCGCTGGGAAGAAGGAGATGGAAAGAGAACCAGTCATGCCTGGGGAACACTCCTGAGCCCAAAACATAAGCAGGAGGCCACGCGGCCACTTACTGGTGAATGTTCCCATCACCTTCCCTTCCAGTTTCTTAGCCACCGATTCACAGAGCTGCACTGCAATCTCAGCTGCCACGTTTTTTGCTTCAAGAAAGAGATAGAGAGAGGGGAGTTAGCGCTGCTGAGGAGGTTACACACACCGGATGCCGGCATCAAGGGAAGGATGGAGTCAGCGTGCAGGATCCCCACCAGGCTAGACTGTTGCCCCCCCTTTTTGATGCGCTGTCAAGGGCTCCCCAGAGGCGAGACAGGAACCCGCCACAGTAACTGTGGGCAAGAATGGCTCGAACTGTGGGTGCTACCCCACACCGGGGCCCACCTGATGGAGCGCAAGAAACCACCTCAAACCAACCCCCTCACAGCAGATCCAGACGTACCGATCAAGTGATCCTTCATCTTCTCCAGTACAGGGTCCATGTCCTCTCTCGTCAAGCTCTTGGAGCCCACCAGGCCTTTCAGCATGCCAAACATGCCCCCCAGGCCACCCTTCTTTGTGCTGCAGAGAAGCAAAGGAGTTCACCTTTAGGTTTGAGGAGCGAGTCATGTAGGTCACGCAACGGCCAGATGCAAGAAGAGCCCACCACGCAGCTGACAAACACACCAGTTTGTCCCCAGCTGTGTTACTGGTTAGACGGGAAGATTAGTTACAGGAGAGAAATTAAGGAGCACGCAGGGGCTGCAGGAGCCTTTACCTGGGTTTCGAAGGGTTCTGAATAACCTTCTCCTCTTCCACTTCATCATCGCTTTCGTACTCAAGGTCGTAGAGGCGGCCAGGTTCCCTATTTCGATCCCCCAGGGCCTGCGAGAGGGGAAAAGATGCATCCTGAAAAAATCAGCAACCGCTTACCATCATCTCCCCCTGCCCGCTTTCGCCGTCACAGGCAGGCAACAACAGTTATCGTCAGCAGCAGAGGCACCTCTGCAGAGATCTTTGCCACAAGGGCTCAGCAGGTTGATCCCACCTAGCGCTGCTTGCAGCTGGAGAAAAATACTCTCTGGGCAGCAGCTTTATGGGCTGGGCGCCGTGATCCCCATTTCTCATACCTTCTCGGCCAGCCATGGAGACCAGGCTGGGTTTGCAATGCCCAGCTGAACCCAGAACAATGCACTAAAGCAGACACAGCGATCTGAGTTTTCCTTACTATATCAGGATCAAATTCCTCCACGGGACAAGCCTCCGTGCTTCCGTTGGTAGCGGAGTTACTGTAATCGAGTACTTTGGCATTAGAGTTACCCAGATCCCACACTCGGGGCTTCTTCCCCTTCTCCTTCTGTGCCTCGGGCTTTGGAGATTTGCTGAAATAAAGACCAGAAACACATGTTGTTCAGTGCAGGGAAGCAGCAGCTATCGCCTCCTTAGAAGGTGTGAAAATTAAAAGCCCAGATTACCCAAAAAGGGAAAAATTAAGGCTAAACCTGGCTGATTCAGTCTCTGGAGTTTATTTATCTGAACTTTAACCCTCTATCAGACCACTTTACCTCGAGCCAGACATCGATGCGCCGCTGCTCTTTGCTCACAGCAGGAAAGCCTCACCAAAAAGAGGTCTGGACCTCTCCCAGGCACACGCTGGGTTTTTGGGTCTCCTCAGGCTCTATTACCCCTCCAGGACCCCCCAGCGTGCCCTCTCCCAGTCTTTTCAGCAAGCAGAGAAAAAAGGAAAAGGGAAATAAGATCTGGGAAAGCAAGATCTGACTTCCAGGGGTCACTGAAGGAAGGAGACATTCGGCTATGGCCAAGGGACACCAGGAAGAGCTGGTTTGCAGCACAGGTAGACTGACCACGTCGTCGTTACCCACCTGGACTTCTCCCCTGCTTTCATGTGTCTCTTGAAAAATTCCTCCCGGTTCTTTTGCAGGATTTCATCCTTGGTCAATTCCTCCCTGTCCCCGGCTGTGGAGGGCTGCTTGTCACCCACAGATGCTTTACCGGGTGCTGCAACAGCTTCAGTTCCTGACGGAAAGAGCCCCGACATGAGCTCAGACCAGCGTCTGGGTGCTACGAAAGGACTGGGAAAGCGCAGGCTGGGACACAGAGCTCTGGAATATTTATTTCCCCCCCCGCCATACATCTTTCCTATCAACTCACCCTCTTTCTTGGAACCTTTGTTCTTCTTGTTCTTGACTTTCTCCTTTGGTTTCTCCCCTCGGGTTTCTATCATACACTTGACAGTCTTCTGGGACTTGAGAGACTGCTCAAACGTCTTCATTACCGTGGGAGCTCGGACTTTACTGCTCTCCTCTGCATCCCTGCGGGGAGGTGGCCTGTTAGCCTGATTTTCGGCTCTGCCCCTCCCCTCCACATCCCCCACCCCCCATTTATCTCTGCTCTAAATGGAAATGAGAGAAAAATCAGGTTCTGCTACCGGAGAAGGCGCATAAAGTCATCTTTAAAATCAAAGGTGCCATTTAGGAGGCCCAGGGTGCCTTTCTGCTGGAACTCATTGCGATACTTGTCTCTGAACTCCTTATGAACGTCGTCTATCAACTTGTCGACGTAGGTTAGAGTCAGGATCTTCTGAAACCCCACCTGCAAAGAAGCACAGCAAAAAGATGTTGCTCTTTCAGCTAATTTAACTGCAGCATCTAGCTGGCAAGGAATCAAAAACCTCTCCATTTAATACGGAGCTCTTTAATTTCGGCCGGCTTCAGTTTTCCAGTCTGACTTCCCAAGCTTTTAATATGCTCTCAAAAAGGAAAAAAAAAAAGGCACAGCCCAGAGCTTCGCTTTACAAGGCGACACCAATAAAAATGGGTTGACTGTTTCATGGCAACAAAGACATGTAGCGAAAGACCAGAAAGCCTTTTGCTTATCTTTAAGTACACAACGAAGGCTGTGTGGATTTATAGAGATAAAGTACTGAAAGGAAGAGCATTAAAATAGATCCTAAAGTAAAGCTGATGACAGGTTCCTGGCTTTTTTTAAATAGATCTGGTCAAAGTAAAAAGTTTTATTAGCATGTAGCAGCCTGTACAGTTTCTATGTGAGGTTTAATGAGTTTTAATCCTATCGCAGATGATTAAAATAAACTGCTACCACAGCGGCGTATGACCCAGAGACACCCACATCCACCCACCAAGTCCATGGAGCTCCCCAGGGAGGAAGCACACAGGAGCGGGCTACGCTGGGATCACCGCTCGATTCCCCCCCCCGAGGCTCTTCTGGAGCCAGGAATGACGAGACCCGCGTCACACCTCCTCATCCCCCAAAATCCCAGAGCCAGAAGGAGGTAACCCAGTTCTGGGAGTCGAGGTACAGCCCTGCGCAATTAAAACATCCGTTTGCTGAGACCACCACAAGCTGATAACGGTTCTCTCTCTCTCTTCAGACCGGATTAACGCTAACTCGGGGGCGATTTTTCCTAACGAAGGCACCGGGAAAAACCTTCGCGTTATCGCCGCGCGAGCTGCCCCTTTTCCCAGGCAGCGCGGACGAAGCCTCCTCGCCACGTCAGCCCCCGCTCTCCCCGAGATTTTAGGGAGGCCGCGGAAAACCTCACCCCTTCGGGAAGGCATTAAACGGCTTTTTTTCACCCCTTTTCTGGGACAATCTCCCTCCCTCAGCGTTTTGGGGTACCCTGGGGGGGGGGGGCCCCACCCGCC